CTGTCAAGCTAGGTTCAGTTTCCCTGTGGCCGTGTGAATGGGCTGCTGTACCTGTCGGAAATACAGGGAAAAGGTCCTACGACCTTTTCTAAAAATGCAGCTGAACAGAAATTGCATAGTGCTATGCATTCCCATGCATGGGAAAATCCACTGTGATTTCCAATGAGTGGGGAAGCCATTAAGAATTAAAGTGGTAGTAAGCTTTAAGACAATGATAGGACAATGTGGAAAGGTGGGGCGCAGGCATCATACACCTTCTGATTGGTGCCCATGCTGAGTGTTCGACATCCTATATTCACAAGGCATCAGGCCGGCCACTCAGCACGGGACCTGGAATCAAGTGGAGATCACTGGAGTAAGCTAAGTCTACTTTAGTAATGTCCAGCTTCAAGCAGCATCAACTATATCATATACATTGGTTCAAGCTGGACCAATGTAACTACATATAATTATTATTATTATTATACAGTATTTATAAAGCGCCAATGGTTCGCTCAGCGCTGTACATTACAAAGGGGGACAGAACATGTGACAGAACAATAACAATACAATGCAAAACATGGAGGGGATCGAGGGCCCTGCTCTTTTGAGCTTACAATCTAGGAGGGAGGGGATAGTGGTACAGGAGGAGATAGCTGTGGGGGATGGAGTGGTAGGAAGAGTGGAGGAGGTCGGCAGGTTAGCAGGGGGTGGGGTAGGCTTCCCTGAAGAGATGGGTTTTCAGGGGGCGCCTAAAGGAGAGGAGAGTAGGTGATATTCTGATGGGTTGGGGCAGGGAGTTCCAGAGGATGGGTGACACCCTGGAGAAGTCCTGGAGGCAGGCATGGGAGGAGGAGACCAGGGAACTAGAGAGAAGGAGGTCTTGTGAGGAGCGGAGTGTGCGTGCTGGGCGTACTTGGATAATTAGGTCAGTGATGTAGTTCGCGGCAGTATGGTGGACAGCTTTGTACGTCAGTGTTAGGATTTTGAATTTGATCCGTTGCGCAATCGGAAGCCAGTGGAGGGATTGGCAGAGGGGGGTGGCGGAGATGGAGGGATTGGAAAGGTGAATGAGTCTGGCAGCCATATTCAGGATGGACTGAAGCGGGGATATAGCCAGCGGCGAGGCAGGCCAGTGAGGAGGGAATACGCAGTAGTCGAGTCGTGATATGAAGAGGGAGTGGATGAGCTGTTTAGTGGTTTCTGGGGTTAGGAACGTGCGTATTTTGGCGATGTTGCGGAGGTGGAGTCTGCACGAGTTTGTTAAAGATTGGACTTGGGGCTGGAAGGATAGGTTGGAGTCCAGAATGACACCAAGTACTCTGGCCTGCGGGGCGGGCTTGATATCTGGAATTATTCTTTAAAGCACATTTTTTCTAAAATTGGTCTCCCTTTAAAAAAAAGGGTTGATGGTTATCTGTCCCACTGTCTGTACTGAATGTCTTCACTGTATTAAAGAACTTCACTGTCTAAACAGTCCTCAGTGTCAATGAGTCGGAGCCCTGGCCCTCCTCTGTGCTCTCTAGTTCCATTCCCTGCAATCTTCTGGCAAAAAATCAACCCCCTCACTTCAATTATGATCATCAGCCCCAACTTACCCCACCCTCCCTAGCTCCCACCATTTACAGTTAGTGGTTTCCCTCCGAGTACTCTCATTTCCTCCCACACTCCAAAGACATGCTGGTAGGTCAATTGCCTACTTTTTAAATTGTCCCTAGTATGTATGAATGTGAGGTAGGGACCTTAGATTGTACGCTCCTTGAGGGCAGGGACTGATGTAAATGTGCACAATATGTTCAATGCTGCATAAATTGACGGAGCTATACAAGTACCTTTTAATAAATAAATCCTTTTAACGCATCTTTTTACCTACCTTAGTCCACTGGACGTTGACCCCCTGTGGTGCCTCTTCCATCAATGGAGACCTTTAACCCATATCTGCAGTCCAAGTCTACCAACTATTCTTGTTTAAGTTTTCAGAACCCCACTTATGGACTCTTCTTTTAGCCATCAGGAAGCTACTTCATCTCAGGGTTTGGCATGTGCTTTCAGAGAGGGACCACAGCCAGAACAAAAAAAAAACTTGCGACCAAGCATATCTCATGACCACTGACTCTGACACTGAGGTAAGAAATCTGGCCTTTAAGTTTTTTTTGTTTTAGGCAATTAGCTGGATGGAGTGGAGGGGGTTACTACAGTTAAGTGGTGGTGGTGGTGTAGTGGTGGGGGATACCCTGAACATCAGCTTTCATTGAAACCCTCGGGCCAATGTGACAAATGCGATCTTAGCTTAGTATGAGGTTGACTAAGGCTGAAGGTAATTGATAGCAACAGAATCACTAGGAAACCATTTACCTTTTCCAATGGAATTGATTGCAAATAACAATATGTCTAATCACATTTAGCTAGGTATGGCAAAAATATCTGATGCAGACAAACTTTTACTATTTTTAAAATCAAAACTTTATTATCATACAATAGGCCATAAAGTAAAAACAAATACTTTCTCTCTTCACGCTCTACCCCAATAAATGATAACCAAAAATCCTTAAAATATCATGTACAGCACTAGACAACATATTTGAAAGCAATAGGCTACAAAATCCTACCAATCTATGTTAGGTCAAGAGGAGGCCTCTGCAGTCCTGTCCTAGGTTAACAAACTTAAGTTGTTCCGTAGACAGTGGAATGAATGAATGTTTTTTGGAGGAAAATAAAACAAAAAAGCTTGAAAAAAGGAAATGATTGCAGACACTACATTTAAGGACTAGTAAACTGCAAAATTATATTTTGTGTTTTGTGGCCTATACAGTGTATGATTTAGGTGCTGCCTGTGTTCTTGCTGGACAGATGGATGGTATAATGCAGCCTTTCTCTGCCTTTTTACCCCAGAGGAACCCCTAAAATAAATTTCAGGTCTTGGAACCCTCACCAAAACCAATTCATTGGGGTCAATGTAAAAAATTCCTCTTACAATGGTGGTCAGCAGGAAGAATGCAACCCTTAACAGTGGTGGTCAGAATGCCACCCTTAAAGCGGAGTTCCACTCACCCTGTCAAAAAATAAGAGTCAGCAGCTGCAAAAACTGTAGCTGCTGACTTTTAAAAAACAGCCTGTCCCTCGGTCCCGTGGTGTGTCCCACGCAGCCCCAAGTAGCGCTGCGCTTCATGAATGGTCCTGTAGTTTACTGGGACCTGTCACGTGTCCCAAAAGACTACAGGGAGGGAGGGAGGACACCTTCCATTTCCAATCGCCTAGGCAATTGGACCGGATGTGGGAGTGGGTACCTGTCAAATTTGGGTACTCGCTCCCCCCCCCCCAAAGGTGCCAATCCTTAATGGGGAGCAGTCCTTAAAGCAGAACTTCCTTTTTGGGTGGAGCTCCGCTTTAAAGACATCTACAAAGATCATTGGAATCATGTAGCTGGCTTTACCAGGTGGCACTGAAACTATGCAGCCATCATAAAATGGAAGGTCAATCAGGCACAGCTCAAGGAGCTCCTAAAAAGCTCTGGTGGAACCTTAGGGTTCCATGGAAACCTTGTTGAAAGTGGCTGGTATAAAGTCTGATTTTGGAAGCCTTTCAAAACCGTCAGTCTGGCCCATTCACTGCATTAGCAGCAGCTATGGCCATGTGGGGAAGAATGTCATGGGGCTAAGCCATTAAAAGACTTCCAACATCAAACCTTATACCATCCAGGGTGAATGGTCGTTGTTTAGAAGAAGGGATGGAATGAAGTTACATATGGTGAGGGGAACACCTACCCTAACTACTGTAGGTCTGTCTGTTCTCCAGTCCCTAAGACTAGACATTGGAGGCCAGTGGAAATAGATTGTTTTTAGGAGCAGTAGAATGTAAGTATCTACGACCTATTTGTATAGATTAATATGACTACCCTAAATAATTAAACAGTATTATAAGGATGTTATTTTTTTTGTATGGAGTATCCTGTATTTTATTGGAATATCTAAACTGAATTCCTATATTTTACAAGAGAATATTGTGTGGAGATAGTTGTCGTCACCTCCTGGATGACTTACAGTATGTGAGTATTGATCAATGAATTATGTGCATGTATGAAAATGTTGACGTATTAAGGGATGAAAAATTGCTGAAAAATTATGTACATAGTCCAGTACATTTTTGTTTCCTTTGCTCTTTGCAGAAGATGGTTTTCAAGTGGTTTGATTATGTGTTAAAAAAATAACTTTTTTATGCAGTTTGTGATATGAGAACATAAGATCTGTAGTTAGCACCAAACAAGATCTTACTAGTGGTTTGGAGGTAGGAGATATCTCCAGCAAGCTGGTTGTACCATAAATGGATCAAATCTAGTCCTGTCTCTGCTGAACCAGCTGAGATTCGATCCACCTATGGAGGCTTTAGGCTCCTGAAAGATATAACAAGCTAGGAAGTAATTCAAACTACAGCTTTACTCAGTTTTCTTTAGCTTTGTAACTTGGTTTGGGAAGCTTTAGAATATCCACTTCATTTCTGTATCTGTCTGTGTGTCTGTCTAGGAGATTTAATCATCTCTCAAATGGGAACAAAGACAGTAACAAAGCAGATTTGCTTAGTGGATCCGGGGGGGGGGGGGGAAGAGCATACTGTATTTCTATATTTTATTGCCTTTATTGCCCTCTTGTGTGTTTCTGTCCCACTGAACCCTGCATCCTCACATGTCTTGCTCTGTTGTCACCAGGCCAGGAAGCTAGGGAAATCTGTCCAATGTAGACAATTACCAGAGGTTTAACTTTTACCTATTCTATCAATTTGCAGCTAATAGGAAAAAAAGGTTCCAACCAATTCAGAAGAGGAATGATGACATTGTATTTGGGCAGATATCTGAAGGTAAAGTCGATATACAGAGTTTTCACAGCTGCTATCTAGCCATGACATGAGAGAGGGAGGAATAAAGAGCTTACAATAGTCAGTGTGCACAGTTACTGTTAGATGGTTTAGCATTACAAATACCAAGGTACACTTTAAGGCCAAAGTTCTCTATGTACTTTATATTTATACTAACCATTTTTCATAAACTCACAAACAAAGTAAATTGTAAGCTGACAATCAACATCATTCCATGCCCCTGTATTGAGCATTTCCACACAGTCCTCGTATCCTGAACCATCATTGGGTTCCCCGGACTTCCAGCTGCTGAAGTCCTGTAGGGGAGTGTTATCCACGTACACAAATTGCTTCTCCTTCTCTAGATCATTGATGCCAATGAAGACCCTCAGTAAACCCAAGCTGGAGATATAATCTGCAATCAGCGAATTGGTGGCCGCATCCTTGGGCATGGCCAAGGTGCCACCTCTGATTCTGCACTGAGTCAGTGCATCCCGGTAATTGCGCTCTTCTTTCACAATGTAATAAAACTTCTCATCTGTTTCTCGGATGCCAGCAATCACTTGATAGAAAAGAAAATAAAGTAAAAATTACCAAATTGTGCAATAGCTTAATATCTGCCACAACAAGATTTGCTGAGCAAGCCCCATCTCTGCTGAAACAGCTGAATGTTTACTCAATCTAATTTCTACATATTGGCAAAATAATAGTTTCTGCAATTCAAATCCTGCCATGAAAAAGTAAAGCCAGCCATAGATGGACCGAATCTTGGCTGGTTCAGCAGCAACCAGCCTAGATTTGATCTATCTTTAGGTTGTACTATTGATCAAATTCAGTACAACCAGCCTGTCGGATATTTTGCTTGAGATCACTGCTGGCGGCTTTATGCCAGCAGTGATCATTGTATCCTAGCTCCCTGCCACAATAGCTCCACGGGATTCATTCCCTCATCAACACTGATTGTGTTGATGGGGGAATCAATCTTCTTTCCTTCTATGGTATCACATATGGCCTGCCTTAGTTATGGCAGATCAGAGGAGTGATCCCCCCCTCCCCCTATGGCCTTCTTGGTTCAGGATTAATGCTTGGTTCCCCATGTCAAAACTGCCCCTCTGATGGATGGTCTGATAAAGGAATAATCAAGAAATGGCAAGACAATGAGGCAGAAGCAGAGAGGTCCTTGCACTGCAGCTACAGATTTCTCTTCAGCAAGGAGAACAGTGAGCAGTATAGTAGTGACATCATCCAATCCCACGCTAAATCTCAGGAGACTAGCAGTCAGAAACATAGAGCCTTAACAAAACCTTTACTAAGTGAATTATTAAAAATTAACCCCTTTCTGAGAAGCTGTTCTGCAGCGCACCCCCTAAAGAGCCGTTGGTGAACGTAGCCTTATTGCCTTAGTTAGAGCACACACAGCCAGGCACATAGCATTTTCCTCACTCTTCCAATGGCTCAAAGAAACAATCTAGGGGTGTATTTTTTAGGGTTTTATTAAAAAATAGAACTTGGATGGGGTGAGGCAGCATGGGATACCCCAAAACTGAAGAACTGGACTCTGAGGACTCCTTATCTATATTGCTGAACTGGACAAAAATGTCCCATAGAATCTCTAATGCTGATGGTGACTAAGAATTCTTCCAGAGACCAAAGCATATGGACCCTCTACTCATGCAGCCACAGGATCATCAGTTGCCTCCGTCCAATATCCACCAGGCTCTTCTCGGTGAGGGAGATGCAGGTTCACATCACCATAGGACAGTTGAACACTCTTTTCCCTCAACGTCCTCCTGGCTTTCTCCAGTGAGCTTTAGCTAGACCCAAATTGATTCCAAGACTAAGCTTGCAAATAGGCAAGCCAGCTATGCCTAGCAGACACCTGAATGTCATCACAAAGGTTCCTCTAGCACTTCTGCACCAGGGGCAGAACCCTTGCACAGGGGTCTCCTCCAGCAGGACTGGACCCAGGAACACTATACTGCAGCCTCAGGCCTCAGACTATTTATAGGGTCTCCCACCACCCACTGGGCATGCCTTCCCAAGGACTGGGATATTTAGGCTGCCCGCTGTTCTTCCTCCCACTATAATTCTACAAACCTCTAGAACACAGGGGGAAGTAACCAGGGCAGCAACCTGTATGACACTGAGCACCACTGAACACTCAACCCTAGCTCTTCTGATTACAGAGGTGCTAGACTACATTTACCTAACAACCTACACTAATCTAGGAGACTGCTATATCACTAATCTCAGTTCCTTGAAGTAGAGTAGGACTATAAATATAAAAATCTAATTTACATTTTGAACTGATTTATTAAAAATTCTGATTGTGAACTGTTCCTAAACCTACATTTGCTGCTATGTTATCCATTTTTAACTCTGTTAGCAAACTCGTGTGTTAAATTTATAGAAATGTGTATTCAGTATACTCACCATTCTTTACAAACATTAAAGACGACTTGAGATGACTGACTTTCAGGTCCAATTGTCCAACAGCTCTGCGGTACCTCCCACAGTCACAGAAAGTACCTGGATCAAAACACAGAATACAAATAAATTAGGGTCTTCTGGTCATCATATATGGCTGTGTTCACAAAGTGTGGTGAACACCTGGGTAGAGATGAGTGATTTGACTCAGAAATCTGGCAAAAATGGAAAAATCCGAAATGTTTGATTGAAGCAAGATGCTTGTGGATTTGTTGAGATGGTGTGCTCATCACATAGAACCTAAAAGCCCACTTTAGAATAAAAGTAAGCATCCTGCTGGAGGGAAGGGGAGGAAGAAGTGTCCCCAACATTATGACCTAAACCTGCAGGGGGCTCATTATTATTTTCGGGCAGTATACTACCTCTTTAATCATGTATGTAAGACAGCTGCTGATTTATTGAAAATGGCATTTTATATGTTTAAACTTGTTTGAAATTACAGTTGTGACCAAATTATTCAACCCCCACTGAAATTGAGTGTTTTGGCCAGTTTGACATTGCTTTTGATCATTCAGTCATCTTGCTTACATTTACATTAAAGAGGCACTTGTAGGTCAGACAAATATAACATAACAGTTATAATGAAATAACCACAAATGTCTTTTCTGTGCTCACAGCATTATCAGTTTTATTCAACCCCCAAGTGACATTCAATCTTAGTACTTAGTACAGCATCCTTTTACAGTTATAACAGCTTTTAAACGTGAAGCATAGCTTGACACAAGTGTCTTGCAGCGATCTACGGGTATCTTCGCCCATTCTTCATGGGCAAAGGCCTCCAGTTCAGTCACATTCTTAGGCTTGCGCACTGCAACTGCTTTCTTTAAGTCCCACCAGAGGTTCTCAATCGGATTTAAGTCTGGTGACTGCGATGGCCACTCCAAAATGTTCCAGCCTTTCCTCTGCAACCATGCTCTAGTGGACTTGGAGGTATGCTTGGGATCATTGTCCTGTTGAAAGGTCCAACGTCTCCCAAGCCTCAGGTGTGTGACGGACTGCATCACGTTTCCATCCAATATCTCCTGGTACTGAAGAGAATTCATGGTACCTTGCACACGCTGAAGCTTCCCTGTACCTGCAGCAGAAGCAAAACAGCCCCAAAGCATGATTGACCCTCCACCATGCTTCACAGTAGGCAAGGTGTTCTTTTCATCATAGGCCTTGTTCTTCCTCCTCCAAACATAGCGTTGATCCATGGGCCCAACAGTTCTAATTTTGTTTCATCAGTCCACAGAACACTATCCCACAACTTTTGTGGTTTGTCCACATGGCTTTTGGCATACTGCAGTCGACTCTTCTTATTCTTTGGAGACAGCAAGGGGGTACGCCTGGGGAGTTCTGGCACGGAGGCCTTCATTACGCAGTGTGCGTCTTATTGTCTGGGCTGAAACTTCTGTACCCACATCTGACAAATCTTTTCTCAGTTCCTCCTCAGCAGTCACACGGGGACTTCTCTCCACTCTACGCTTCAGGTAGCGCAGCAGTCGAAGTCAGCATCTTTTCTGCACGACCAGACCAGCGTTTCAACAGTGCCCTTTGCCTTGAATTTGCGAATGATGCTTCCTAAGGTGTCTCTTGGTATGTTTAACATCTTTGCAATCTTCTTATAGCCATTGCCCTTCCTGTGAAGAGAAATCACCTCTTCTCTTGTCTTCCTGGACATTCTCTTGCCTTCACCATGTTTGTAACCACACCAGTAAATGTCTAGAAGGAGCTGAGTATCACAGTCATTTTAAAGCTGCCTAATTGGTGCTTATTATGCTTGATTGCTGCTCGGTGACATCCACAGGTGTTTTCAATACCTGATGGAAAGCACCTGTATGAACCTCTGTTCTTCAGAGTGGTAGTCTTTAAGGGGTTGAATAATTGTGGCAATGAAGAAACCACATAAGAACCATTTACTACTGTATTACATATAAACAATTGATGTCATTTTAGTTGCATTTTGGGTAGTTACAACGTCCTTGTAGGATTTGATTCTGAATACAATTCCAAATGTACACTATAGTCCCTAAACCCCTTTACAGCATTGGGGGTTGAATAATTTTGGTCACAACTGTACAGTGATTGGGCTTACATAGACTTTAGGTTTTCTCAAATGATGTACAGGTAAGTGCTGATACCTGGTTTCCCCTTTCCTCCTGGAAGTCCGGGTAAGCCTTTATGTCCTTTGTCCCCTAAAGCAAAAATCAAAGACATACAGTTACATATATTTAAATGTGCAGAAATCCAATCAATAATCACTGTACAATATTTATCCTGACAATAGGACAGATACTTTTCTAATGAAAATTCTCACAATTGCATATTCAACAGGGAATTAATGAATTAAAATATCTGAACAATGAAATTCTAGAACAGTGGTTCTCAACCATCAAGCCATGGCCACCCTTCTCCTGGGCCTCCAGCCAACTGCAGATCACCTAACCTCCCACAGTGCCACCCAAACTCCGATAGTGGTCTGCAGTGCTCCTAAATCTCCCACATTGTCCCCAGGTCCCTTGAGACCCCAGAGTGTTTCCTAATCTCCAACAGTGGCCCCTGACCTGCCACAGTGCCAGCCAGCCCCCTGCAGTACCCCTAGCTTGCTGCAGAGCCTCCAGCTCCCCATGGTGCCCCTAGCCCTGCAGTACCCCTAGCTTTCTGCAGAGCCTCCAGCTCCCCAGGTTGCCCCTAACCCTTAATAGTGTCCCACAATACCCACCTACTTACTGCAGTGCCCTCCAATCTCCCACAGTGCCCCTGCAAAGCCCAAAGCCTCCATACATCCCAGCCCCACAACTGCGCTCAGCTCCTTTCAGGAACCTCTTACCCTACAGGGCCACAAAGTCCCCTAACCCCCTCCAGAGCCCTCACCCCACACAGTGACACCCAGCCCCAACCACAGCCTTCCAGAATTTCTGCACATATTTTGTATTCCCATATGTTTGTTGTGTTAGTAAAAACCTTTTTTTTTTTTTTTACTGTTGAGGAAAAAAGTTTTAGAAGAATTTGTGGGGTCATGGTCTCAATGAGATGGAGAAGCACTGTCCTAGACCATGATGAGCAGGAACAGAAGCCACTGAAAGGATGCTAGTTGCCAGTCTGTCCTATTGATCCTCCATCTACAATACATTGGGATCACTGATCGTGTGATTGATATGTGGTCCATTAAGACAACTCATTTCATGTCTAACACACCATGTTATGCCTAGCTGCACTCGTTTTCGTAGAGTGGCACAATGAAATGTATATTACAATCAAACAGTGTAAAGCCAACCTAAGGGTGAAATATAAATAAATTCCAAACTCACTCCTAGAGCTCGAAAGAGCAGGGCCCTCGAACCCCTCGTGTATTGTTTTGTTACTGTATTGTCTCATGTACTGTCCCCCACTATAATGTACAGCGCTGAGCAAACCTTTTGGCGCTATATAAATACTGTATAATAATAATAACTCACTCCAACTTTCTTCATCTGCATAACCCTTTCCAAAATATTGAGTCAAGACATCCAAGAAACTAGCTATTCAGAATAATATCAGCCTTCATTTTTTACTGGACAAGTTCATGTAACAGAAAATATACTAAGGTGACAAAAACATCTTGGCAATGTAATAGGGAAGGGGTTATCTTTTAGGGCACATTCAGATTATTGTGGTTCCACATGCATGTTTCAGATGTCAATTTACCTCTTTGTCCGGGTTTCACCCTTAGGTTGGCTTTACACGGCTTGACTATAATATACGTTTCATTGTGCCACTGTATGAAAACGAGTGCAGCTAGGCATGCCTCGTGTGTTAGACATGAAATGAGTTGTCCAGGGGCGGACTGACAACTCATGGGGCCCCCAGGCAATAGGGGATCATGGGGCCCCTGTGTCCTTGCCCACACTCAAAAAAAGCCTATAAAAGGTACCAGTGCATTTCATGGGGCCCCCTACTGACCCCGGGCCCTCGGGCAGTGCCCGAGTGCTCGAATGGTCAGTCCGCTCCTGGAGTTGTCTTAATGGAATGCATGTCAATCACACGATAACGCACATGCGCTAATGCACTGATACAGTGTGAACCCAGTCTAAATACTGCACTTAAGGGCCCATTCACACAACAACACAATGTGCTGCAGGGCATGTGTCGATGTGTTATGGCACTCTGTATTAGAATGAATGGGCAGCAACACACTTTAACATAGGCACTGTCTGCATGATTTTGCATCACAATGCACAGGACAGTGTATTGGGATGTGCTGTGTTAACGTGCACAGGGGCAGACTGACCATTTGGAAACTCGGGCACTGCCCGAGGGCCCGGGGTCAGTAGGGGGCCCCATGAGATGCCCCTAGTACCTTTTTCATAGGATTTTGGGAGTTTGGGCAAGGACACAGGGGCCCCATGATCCCCTATTTCCCGGGGGCCCCATGAGTTGTCAGTCCGCCACTGAACGTGCACATACATTTTAGAGGTGTGGTGGGGTGCCTTTCACAATTAATGTATGCAATGTGCATTACCCCATCAGCCTGATGTGAATGAGCCCTTAACCTCTCACCATCTATGTAACACATATGGCTTTAATGTCAATGTGTGTCCACAGCGACCTGAGGTTGTGTGCTGAGAGCATGCTCACTGCTCGCTCCCAGCCCACAGACAGAGCTGTCACTGACAGCTCTCCATCATGGTTTCTGATCTGGAGCCCCTCCAAATCATATGACCACTGTGAAAGGGGTTAATGTTAAAGCAGAACTCCGGGCAAAAACGTCTTGTTGCTGATTTCCTACCTTCACTGAACATCATTCATGTCATCCATCTTATGGCCTATTCATTTTTTTTTTTAAATAAATTCTTTATTTTCAAACTCCAGTAAAGCTTCAGTAAATTAAATAGAAAATAAATACTAACTGACATGCAAAATCAACATCTTCTATTCCAAGTATAGATAAAGCTTAAGGAATCTGAGCCAACCACACTTATCGGAATTCCGAATATGTGCAAAAGAATACATACATGTCTTTAAATGAAATTTCTGCACTGCCTTTCACTATATTCCATTTTCTGAGAAATAGACAGGAAGGACAAAGGAAGGAGAAGAGAGAAGAAAACAAGAGAAAAAAAAACAAACAAAAAAAGAGGGAGGGGGCCTATTAAATTTCAAGTCAAACCATTAATTCTCTTTGGTTTCCTGCTTGTAAGACCAGTGGCTGCCATGCCTCCTATTCCCCCAGCCACTGGTCTTGGCACATCCCTCCTGTAGTCTTTTCTCCAGGAAGCAGTGATGAAATTCAGCCACACTAAGGCTCCATGCAAACTAGCATTTTTTTAAGCTCTTAGAAGCTGTTATCAGCATTTTATCTGCTCTTAGGAGCAGGGGCGGACTGACAACTCATGGGGCCCCCGGGCAATAGGGGATCATGGGGCCCCTGTGTCCTTGCCCACACTCAAAAAAGCCTATGAAAAAGGTACCAGGGGCATTTCATGGGGCCCCCTACTGACCCCGGGCCCTCGGGCAGTGCCGAGTGCTCGAATGCTGCGCCCCTGCTTAGGAGCTAATAGTTCTATCCTATGTGATGCACACTATTTTAGGCTAGTAGCATTATTTACTCTCCAGCTTTTTGGAGCAGAAAAAAACATTGATTTTGTAGAGTTTTTGGGAGTGTTTCTCCGTCAAAAATAAAACACTAAATGCTCCTAAACGCTACTAAAACGCTGCTAACATCTTTTTTTTCCCCTCCTACATGTACTGTAAAATGCTAATAAAATGCTAACTCTCCTAAACGCTTCTAAAGGATACTAAAATGCTACTAAAAGATGCTATTACCAGCATTTTTATCCAGCCTTTTTCTACAGCATTTTTTTTACTTAAAAAAACACTATTGTGCATGGAGCCTTACAGTGGTGGGAGGACCGAGACTCTCAGAAACATTCAACATGTACAGACCTAGTGTACCCGCCCACATTCAATACAATTCCCAGAGGTTGATGGGAACTGTGGTTTCCTTTTACTGCAGAGAGAGAGGCGAGGATGTGAAGTAATCAATGCTGTTACACCTCCACTTTGGCAAAGCAGATGCTGTTGCCTTCTTGAATTACAGAGATGAGGTCATGAAAATTCAATAGTAAGGATGGTAAGGATTCTTAAAATGTCATTAACTAGTTAATGTTTTGTGTAGGGGGGGGGGGTGTACTAATGGGTGATTTTTTTTTTGCCTATCCTGGAATTCTTCTGTAACTACAATACAGTATATCCCAATAACATAATAAAAATTGCAATGATGATTTCTGCCCAGAAGAGGGCAGTATTGTCCTTCTAAGTTATAACAGCCATCAAGGATACAGGATAAAATCTCTTGATTATGTTCTACAGAGAAGAGGTTTCCGGAGTATTTTTAGATTTTGGGGTCTATTGTCAATGTTTTCACCTATGATTCAGACAACTTTCACCCAAACACATTATTTTCTGTTTGAATAAGGAAAATAGCAATATTAATTCACATTTTATTTAAAATGAGTGCACTGCGGTCCTTAGCGCAGAACACAGATCTTTATTAGTGTGAGTACTCCTACACCCCCTGGGCCAAAAAAGGGAGAGGGTCGTCAGGTGCAATACCCAACTAGTTCTCATCTGGGACTACTTCACTGTAGATGTTGGAATTGCTTGGTCAGGGACACTCTCAAGACAGCCGGGTGGATGAGGAGAGTTTCATTTGAGGTCTGAAGAGGTTCACCAAAGGGGACTTAGTGCTCCTTACTAAGATTGTTGCTGATTTTTTTTGTCCATTTTTGCAGAGAAGTTTATCCTCAAAGTTGTACAGTTCCTTGCATCCCATATACCCCTAGACTCCATCCAAGTAGTTAACCCCTAATGAAAAAACAGCAAAACCAAGCTCAAGGACTATTGTACTGACTTCGGATGAGAGTGTTGGAAAATGCTTGTTGCCTGGCAGTGCATAGTTTAGGGGGGCCCAAAAACTCAGCGACCCTCAAGAGGGTAGCGCTACATTTACAATATAAGAAGAAATCCCTTCTTAGACAATTGTCACTGAAAAAAGTGTCCCCATTGGCTGCCTCTCTTCCGGTTGGTGTCCTCATTTTTATTACTGGTGATCAGGATGGTTAGATAGAATGACAGACAGCAATAAAAACCTGACAGTGGATGTAACCCATCACCATTCTTTCCAAATAAAAATGTTTTCCTTTGGTTGTACTTAGGCTACTTTCACACTGAGGAAT